ATTCGCTCTTTCCAGTACAAAATTAGAAAAAGACGTCATTTTCTACCGAATGAGTGAAAGAATGAATGTTGTTATGCGTATTTTCCATGAAATATAATTGAACCTTTAGGGGCATCCAAAATCCGTGAGAAAAATTTGTGCTACATAAGTAATCATTTTTTACACTGTAGTTTTTGCATGCAGCCGGAAGGAAGTTCATTCGAAAGCCGACATCCTTAGGTAATTGAAATATTATAGAATTCTGTTGCAGGCTGACTAGTTTTACCACCCTACTTAATTTATCTTTTCGAAACGAAAACGCTTTTCGGAATTTCAGATGACATTTCATGAGTTAGCCCACCTACTGTATTTAGTTAACGGGTTCATTTACGTTGCCATGCGAAAGCGTATGATTAGGTTTCCGACAAATATCCAATCGGTTTCTGTGTTTTTTGCATTTTGTTAGCTTGCTGTCTAGCGTACTGCCCCATCATCATTCCTCTGTGGCACGACCCACAATCCGCCCTTCTTATTGTGGAAACCAAGGCATTTAATTGTTTGCTCCTACTCTCGGAAAATCTAATCGCTATGGATGTCAGAGGGCAGAGTTAAAGACGATTATAGCGATCCAACTTGCGTCATCAGAGGAAAAACTAAGAGACATTTACCTAGTTACTAAATGACCTGAAATTCATTTAAGTCATTTGTAAAAAAACTCAGCGGTGTCAGTTTTATTCTGACCCCCGATAGCAAAGGGCAAGGCTTGAGTCTGACCAACACTCTAACCACCTAAACTACGAGGCCCCACCAGTAGCTGTGAGTTTGGTCGCCTTTGGGTCAAGTTACCCACCCACCCTACTACATCGTATAAAATGCACCAAATCTAATACAGTGAGCCCAAGCAGGATTACTTAAGCAATAAATCGACGATGCACCAGATGACTAAAAGATTAGCTTACTTTATTTTTGATTTTGGATTAATTGGAATAAGTTATCTGATCTGTTTGCGAGAAACTTGGCGGCCTCTTTGGAATTCAAGTCTACTTCAATAACAGCATGACTTGTGATTAAACTCACGGCTCCGTGTGGAGCCTCATAGCTCAAGTGGCCAGAGCGTTGGCTATTCTTAGGCCATGCAATCGTCACACCAATTACGTTCTATCATTCCTGTCAATAAACCACAGCTGCGTGTTGACACCTCGTTTGTATCGTCTGTTAACTATGGTAGGGGACGCTCACCGATCGTTCTTACGGAGCTCAATCGTTCCGTTGTGCCTTACGGGCTCTCTCTCTCTTGAGCTCAACCAGCAGCCGCACAGCGACGCATGATATAGGCAGCATGCTATTACCGACAAAGAAAAGGGAGACTGGATTGGCGAGAAACAGAGAGAACCCGTAAGGCACAACGGAACGAGTAAGTTCCGTGAGAACGATCGGTGAACGCCTCCTACTATTTTATATTCCCGATCGAAACCGACAGGGCAACGGGCTCGTGGTCCAGTGGTTAGAGGCGTGGACTTTTAACTAATAGGTCGTGAGTTTGCGCCTCGGGTGGTCCACACTTCGGGGTTGGATATAACTGGCTGACGACGGTTAATAAGCCAGAAATGGCCATTCTAGTCTCTCTTGCCTTTGTGGGTAATAACATACTGCCGATGTCTGTTAACTTTTCTATTTTTCCTTGAAATCATTATACACGGTGTCTAGTTCGATGTTCCAAGTAAAGCTTGAGTCATCGGTGTATGGTCCCGCAAAAGTTATCAGCCTTTCTTTCTGGGCTGACATGAGTATTACAAGTTTTTTCCCAAACATGGGACGAGTGGTCTCACCTCTTTTCGGCCATTTGCTGCTCTTACCTGTCAGTGCGGGCTGCATTTTCAGTTACGCCATAGTATACTGCATAAAAGGTGCTGCAAGCCTTAATATTCATGCACACAAATTGCGGTCTGAGCTTATAGACCTAGAATTAACTGATCTATCCACGTTTGCAGTTAGTTTCTGGGGAAATTGATAAACAACAATTTCTAAATTGGAGTATCTACCAGAAGGCAGACGGGGACTGCTGGAGGATCCCTGATGAGCCAACCCCCTCGCAGCTGTGTCATGCAGCAGTTGAATATCGGCAAAACACGCCTGTGTGTGCTTTTGGCTAGTACCTGTGCTGTTAGTATGGTATCACCTTACCCTAAAGTATACTACTGACTGCATGTCATTAGTTGATGAATATTACGCGGTGTTACCCGCTGTGGCTTATGGACTTCGGCCCAAATATTTGTACCTAAAGTTCTAGGTCTGAGCCTATGGACTTTGAATAAATTGATCATGCAGCGATTAAATATCGATGAAACACGCGTGTATAGGCTTTTGACTAGTATCTGTTTTGTTAATATGGTATCCCCTTAACCTAAAATATCTAACCAAAGTCATTTTGGTGGTGTATAAGGTGGGTAGGCAATGTAGTAGTTGATGTGTATACTACTTGTATTTGATACTTCCCTGATGTCTTTCAACGAGCTCAGGTTCCTTTTTTGAGGTCAGGGAGGGTTCTCCAGTTTTTTTGAATTTGATCAACCCGGTCTCCTCTCTTTTTGACTTATTTTGTCTTATTCATCGACGAGAGAATTCTTTACAGTGCCCGTTTTGGAAGAATAGCTTAAACAATTAATGCAGTTTCGTCTGACATCATTCGTCGTCAGTGAAGTATTTTTGCCCGATCACGTAGGCTGTTAACAGCACTCCGCTTGTGATCGATGAGATGGTTGCTGTCTTAATGTAGAATAACGGCCCCGTGCGTTTCCTGTGCTAAATTGTTGCTGCGTAAAATGTGCCGTCATTCGTTCGCACTACGAGTAGATTAAGAAAAGGAATTTCGTTGTGACTTTGTTTTATGACTGTGAACCTAATTCCCGATAGTGTACAGTTAAGAAGGCCGTGTGGCATTTCTAGTTTATCCCTTTTAACGCCAACCAAGTTATCACTCACACAGCGCACATATATAGAGATTGATTCGTAGTAGAGCCCTAGGTCCTTATTTAGACATCGTGCGGATAATCTCAAGGAAAAAATTGAGAAGACGACAGACAGCCCGGCAAAGATGTCGGTCCACAATCATAGATCATTGGCAGAAATCACAGAGCGCTATTGATTTATGACATATCAGTACATTTTCATTTTTTGCGCATTCACTACACGTCACAAGATGGTCTGGAGAATCAGCGTTGAAAATATAAGAAACAACGTTTATTAACATTCCGAATCGATTCACTTTTTATTATGCATCTTAGACTTCCCCTCCTTCACTATGCGTGTACATATACTATCTTTACCAACGTCTAAAATTCTCGGCCAAGTCGGTGGGAGTCGAACCCACGACAGAAAGAGCAAGGCTTGAATACGGCCAACGCTCTAACCGCCTGAGCTCTAAGGCCCCACTGGAGCCGTAAGTTTAATCACATTTGGGTCAGATTACCCGTCCAGCCCACTGCAAAGCACGGAACACAGAAAGTTTAATATAGTAAGCTAAATGCTCAAACAGGATTTCCAAGTTATCAGTTTAAAAGCCTCCGGATGACTACCAGACTCGCGTAATTAATGCACGTTTAGGTGGATGTTGTGTAACTGCTTCTGACCCGAGCGGCCCAACTTAAAAGACCGAAACTATGAGTTGATAATGAACTAATTTTAGTAAACTGAAAATACACGAGCAATGCTTGAATAGTATCTCGATGTTTAAA